CAGATATTAAATTCTAATAGATGGGATTTTAATTTAGAGCAATACTAGTTTCACATAAGGACCTTGTCCAGTCTGGTGAGATCTTGGATTCTGCCCCCTCCCCACACTGCTTTAAATTGCCTTGTAATGATCAGTTTTTTAAAAGTAATCATGACTTTACACGTGGGTGCTGCTTGGAATGGGAAGCGCAACCCCAGTGCCCTTAGGATTGCAGAACCTTTGGTCTGGCTCAGCTGCAGGAGCAAGGATGAGGATCTCTGTTTTTTGCTATATAGTCCTATCATATTGGATATTAAGGTTTGTGACCTCTTGAAACCAGTCTGACCTTTATTTTTGCTTGCTGAAAGACTTCCAGATACTAGAAGTGTGTCAAACACAGAAACTACTCCAGTTACGGAGTTCCAGCCCAACTTATCTGAAGGGTGACAGATGGGAAGAGGCTGATTTACTGTCTCTTCTAGCCAAATTTATTGTAAGCCGTCCTGAGATCTTGTATAGTAGGACAGCATACAAAAGCTTTTAACAAACAATAAATAAATAAAATTTAAGATGGAGGTTGCATCAAGTACAAAAGCTCTTATGGTCCACCGAGGAGAGACAATTCTAGGTATGCTTGCAAAAAGATGGTTTTGACAATACAGGGTTATCCTATTTCTTGCTCAAAAAGGATGTTCATAAGTCTAGTCTTGTTCTCTGTTTTACCCTCAACCTCATCAACTCAATGTTAATGTCACCTCTTAATATGTTATATGTATGTTGAATATGTTATGAACAAAACTGATCAAGCCGTATCTGTACGTATATGAAATGTCACAATTGTATCTGTCTTTGTATATGCCTTCCTTAAAGAAGGCACATCAAACAATATGTGAACAATTCACTCTGATGAATCACATTTTGAAAATCTTCCATACATAAATAGAAGTGAACTAAAACATCCTGAGATGGAGAAAGGTAGCACAGTAGGTGGTAGGCTACATTAGAAGCTATCTCTCTGGTTTGTTTTGCTTTCTGCAGGATTTCTAGGAGAAGCAATTTAAATTGGCATTCTTCACCTGCCATGAATAGCCTGATCTATCCCTTCATTCAGCTATATGGTTAAAAGACCAGGTCTAGATGGTTTGTGCTATATCCATCGGAACTCCAACATTATCTGATTTCCTCCCCTGAAAATTGGAAAGAACTCTGAGCACTTTCCAAGCCAATCTAATGGTTAGGAAAATGATTCCTCCTCTTTGGGCAGGTTAACTGAAGAATGGACTTCTGCCACCCATACACTGACTGGGTTTACTCAACATGACCACACTCAAGGTAGAATATGAGTTAAGTGTGGTTGTCATTGAACTCTGGGTTGCTGTCTGAAACCACCCATGCTAACAAACCATTGCTAGCCATGAATAACCCACAGCACACAACCCAGAACAAACCATGGGCTGCTCCTGGTTAGCAAACCATTGTTAGCAGAACTGAATTCAGACACTACAATAACCTGCATGAATCCAGTCACAAAGCAATGGAGAAATGTATTTTGCTTAGCCTAGGGAACTGTACAGAAGGGCTGCTACTTGGCAAAAGACTAGCAGGGGACGCTTTCTGGAAGAGGGCCCTTTGCAGATGATGGACCTTTGCTCCCCAACAGTTTCCCTTAGAGCCATCCTGCAAAACAGGGCTTGCGATGAAATAGCTTCTCCAGCTCAGATATTAATCCAAGCCAGAGAATTAAGGGCTCTTTTGTGGTGAACAGTACTGTGACCCTGAATCTTGCTTGTAGGCTTGATACTTGTGAATTAGGAAAGACATTGGAGATAAAACTTCAAAGATCATACTCCCCTTACACAAATCTTGGAAGTGACCATGCTTGCTGGGAACTGCGACTGTGGCCATCTCCCCACTTGGGGTGGGGGGGGGGGAGATGGCCGCAATCGCAGTTGCTTTCATGCAGGGAAGGCGTGTGCGATCAGAGGCGCATTGCTGCAGGAAAGACGGGCACAGCACAGCCACGGGGTAGATGGCCGAGATTGTGCCCGTCCATCCTGCAGCAGCGCGCCTGTGATCACGCACATCTTCCCTGCACAAACAGAACTGCGGCCGTGGCCATTTCTCCACTGGATGGGGGGCGGAGATAGCTGCGATCTTGGTCGCCACCCAATGTGGAGTTTGCGACCCACGTCAAAATTTTAACGAAATTTTTGTTCATGACCCGATTTGTTCGTGAACCAAGGTGTTTGTGAGCCGAGGTACCACTGTAAAGGGAGACATGATAGAGGTGTACAAAATTCTGCATGGTGTGGAATAATGAGATTGCGGGACATCACTCTAACTTGGGTGCACTCCATGAAGCTGTATGGTGGGAGACTCAGAATGGATGCAATGAAGTACTTCTTTAGCTAGCACATTGCTGAACTGCAGAATTCATTTCCACACAATGTAATGCTGGCCACCAATCTGGATGGCTTTCAAAGGGGATTTCAAAGGGGATGGGACAGATCCATGGCAGAGAAGGCTATTCATGGCTACCAGTCCTGTTGACTCTCTGGTACCTCCAGTAGCAGAGGCAGTGTGTCTGTGTGCACCACTTGCTGGGGAACGTGGACAGGAGGGGGCTGTTGCATTCATGTCATGTTCTGTGTTTCTTGTGGGCAGCTGATTGGCCCCTCTGTGAAAAAGACGGTTGGACCAGATCGGCTCTGGTCTTACCCAGCACAACACTTAAATTTTTCTGATCTTTACTGGAAGATCCAAGAGTGATGATGTGACCCATTCACAAATCCAGTTCTGTAAGCCATGTGGATAACCAACCCTGAAATAATCCCTCCCGATACACCGATATATGCATTCACAGAATTAAAAAATAAACCCATCAGTGCAAACCCCCAGACAAAACGTTCATTTCAGCTTTCAAAGCCAGCAGCCCCCTCCTTTTTTTCCAATAATAATGAAGAGCAGTAGAACAATGATGAAAGGGAGAGATTTATGTGTGCCTGGTGATGAGCAAATATTTAAATACCTTGTCAGACAAAAACATGACAGTCCATCATTCAGACTAAGGTCAAAAGAACTACACTACATTCTAACCATGCAAATGCCCATAAATAATCTTGCATGAACAGTTCTTGAAAATTTATTGGGAAGAAAGGAACAAACAAAATCTATGTTTCAACTATGTGGATCTTAGCATAGTTAGGGCATGAAATTAAAATGAGACACTGCCTTGCCAAAGTATTCACACACCCCTTTGACTTTGCCACATTTTGTTGTGCTGCAACCTGCGAATGAAACAGACTGGAACCCAGTTTTGTTACCACTTGATGTACACAAGATAGTCAACACTGCAATGGTGCAAAATATTTTAATTATGGCACAAATGTAAACAAACAAACAAACAAAGCCCCCCCCCCCAGCATTGGTTATTTTCATGAGTCAATGGTTGGTAGAAGCACCTTAGGCAGCTAGTTTAGTTGTCCATCTTCTTGCATAAGTCCATGTCAGCTTTGTCCATCTGGATCCTGTGATGTTTGCCAGTGCTACCTAGCAAAACTGCTCTAGCCCTGCCTGGCTGGGTGGGCACTGTGGGTGAACAGCAACATTCATCTCTTGCCATGGATTTTCAATTGGATTGAGGTCTGACCTTTGACTGAGAACCAAAGACACTCCAAAGGCACTCAGGTTCTTGCATTTAAACCACTCCAATCCAATTTGACTGTGTGTTTATGGTCATTGCCCTGTTGGAAGGTGAACCTCCATCCTAGTCCCAGGTCCCTTGAAGACTAAATCAGGTTTTCTTCCAGCATTTGGTTTCATCCAGCTTGCCCCCAGTCCTGACCAATTTCTCAAGCCCTATTGAGCAAAAGCGTCCCCACAACATGATGCTGCCACCATGTTTCACGTGGGGAGGATGTTTCCAGGGCAATGGACACTGTTGGCTTTGTACCACATGTAGTGTTTTGCAACAAGACTAAAAAATCCAATCTCATCCAAATGCAAAAAATCCAAAAATCTCATCAGAACAGAGAGGCCTTTCTCATATGTTTGCTGTGTTCCCCTGTGCTTTTTGCAAAATCCTTGCGGGCTTTGATCTGGTCTTGTTTCAGCAATAGCTTTTGTCTCACCACTCTTCCATAAAGCTCATCTTTGTGGACCATCTGAGTAATAGTTGTCCCATAAACAGTTTCTCCTGTGTCAGATGTGGCTCTCCTCAGGTCCTTCAAAGTTACCCTTGGCCTCTATCAAATGTCCTCCTTACCTGGCACTGAGTTTTGGTGGACAAACACACATTAGTTTTCTTCTATTACTTTCTTTTTGGAAAAAAATAGTAATGAAACAATTTACTGTCTTTGCTCCAAGCTTCCAAGAAGTTGTAAAAAGCAGCAAACAGCAGGAGAGACATACTTTTGTTGATAAAATATACCCACATAATGTAAATGATATCAGAAAAAGCTAAACATTTACATCATAGCTTTATGCCTGAAAAAACATTTTGTATCTTTGACAACTTTAGCAGAATTAAAACTAGTTGCTAATATTTGTTCTATATCTTTCTGATGTCTGTTATAAATTCAGATGTCTTAGATATGACATATGCTGCACTTGGCACACAGTTCAGTTTTTCATTCTAGAATTAAACTAGTTTTAAAGCATAACTAACTCATTTGATGCTTTTTGAAGCTGTTGGGGTGTCTTAACAGCAACAGTAAGGACTGGTAAGACTGCTGAAGTTACTTCTGTTTTCTACTGCATCACTTTAGCAGTCTTGTGATAGTATGATTGTGGTCCCATTTGTTAACTGCCAACTTTGCCTTGCAGCATTCTGGACTCTCCATTTATAATGGCTCCTAATGAAAGATTTTACACATGTGCATATTGATGTATTATTTATTTTTATTTATCTATTTAAAACTTTAAAACCCATCCAACCACTGACATCTTGGGATGGCTTACAACGGGGAAAAAACAATGTAACAAAACAAAACAAACACAGCATCCAGTAAGTCAAGATAAAACCCCAGTTAAATCCAACAAACATTAAAATAATGGGAAATAAGAAGGTTTTTACCTGATGCCGAAAAGAATAAACATCAGTGCCAGGTGGCCCTTTGGGGAGGTATTCAGTTAGATATGAATTTTAACAAACGGCAACAAACTAGAAATATTAATTTTGTGCCAGGAAATGAGCTATTCCCAATTGTCTTTTTGCTATTCCTAATAAATAAAGAGGCAACAATGAAGGAGGTACAAAGCGAATCGGGTTTTCCCTCCAAAGGTAGTCCTTTTTGTGACACTGAATACTGTTTCATGGGCTCAGTCTTTGTTAAAAGATTCCTGTGGGGTGGAAAGTGATGCAGTTGGATGGAGAAATGGTGTGGGGAATAAGCTGGAAGGCCAAGATGTGCTAAGAAAACTAATTACTATCTTCAATTATATAGGACAGATCTAAAAGCAGGTGAGCTGTTTCCACTGCCACTTGCAGGCCATTCCTTTTGGCAGCAAAACAGTCCAGAATTAGATTGGCAGCAGAAGTTATGGAAAGCTCATTAATACAACTTTTGGGGAGGAAAGGCTCAGAAGGACAGCGTAGCATCCTCCAATAGTGGGTTTGTTGCTTATCACAAAGGCCGCAACCGCACTTCCAAACGACATCTGACCAATCAGACTCGCTAGGAACATCGGGTGGAATGGGCCAAAAATGACCCCAGTCTGTGTCAATCAGACTGTCCCCACCATCGTGCTCTAGGCAGTGGGCTATGGATGCGAGGGAACGGCAGAAACCATCTGCAACCAGCTGAAAGTCTGCCCAAGAACAGCACAGATCTTCTAAGGTGCTGATCGTCACATTACCACTCTAGAACAAAGGAAAGAAAGAATATTAAAGCTGTCACTACACTAGTTTACTACCGTTAAAATATCCCCCTCCAATATCTTCAACAAGCTGAGCTAACATGCTAACTTGGAAATATGTCCCAACACGTTCATTGACCTATCCTCATTCAAAAGTGCAAAAGTCAGTCCCAGGAAACTGAATTAATATTTTAGCTGGGAAAACTAAACATCACAGTTCTAAGCGTTCTTAGTAAGAACAAAGCCCATTAAGAGCAGTATGTTCATTACTTATTCTAACCCCAGACCCCTGGAATGTTTACATTGTATTGCTTAAGCCTGGCACCATACGTATCAGATAAGTGAAAGCCAAAATCTCTCTCTAAAATTTCAGCTTACAAAAATATTATTTATATAGTAATTTAAATTCTGGAAAAGCATTAAGGAGCATAAGTAAAATGCATCTATTTATTAGCTACGTTTCTATCCCACCTGTTTTCCTTTTGCAAGGAGTTCAAGGTAATGTTCATGATTCTCCCCATCTCCTTTATCCTACAACAACCCTGTGAGGTAGGTTGGGCTACAAGTCCGTGACCAACCTGTAGCTACCCATTGACTGGCATGACTCCATGGCTAAGCAGGGACTACAGGCCAGATCTCCTGAGTCCCAGTCCATACTCCAGCCACTCCACCACACTGACTTGCCAGACAGGGCTTAGAAGACATGGGACAGAGGCAACTCAACTAGAATAGTCTGGTGGCATTTAATATTACAGCTGTCAGTTTATAGATTAAAACAAAATCTGTTTTACAGTTTGAAGGCCATGCAGCTCCAACTATACCATAGGGAGTTCTTTGGTTTTTAATAGCCCCAGCTGGGCTGCTTCTGAGGATAAGACAAGTGAGGAAGGAGCAGCTACTTTTTGTTGGAAGATTTTTTCAGCTCAAACTAGTCTCCCTAGGCTGCTTTTTCACCTGCAGGAGGAAATACAGGGCTGCTTCCTCTCTCCTCTAGTGGATGTTTTGATGCACTGAAGCAGTAATTTGCAACCTTTCTATATTTGGAATTTGATAAAATGCCATCGGCGGTGTCACAAAATGGCTGCCATAGGGAAGGGAGGTCCTTATTCACAAAATGACTGTCATGGTAGGCTGGGGAGCAGGGACATTTGCCCTACTTTACATAGAGGAATCCTCTACTCAGAGCTGTTAGAGGAAGAAATAGAAGATTAAATAGAAGATGGTCTTCTCACAGCCATTGCAACAGAGGATGTGGTCAAACAGAGTTGATTTGACTTCATTGGGGCTGCTCATTCAAAGTCCAGTTGAAGGATTGTACAGCAAGGCCTACAAAGTCAGTAGAGCAAGGCCTTGGAAGTTACTCATCCCCAGTCTGCAACTGGACAGCAGGCTGAGGAGGCAACTAGGAGGTCATCTGGAGGTCATGGCATTCCACACATAGTGAGATACACTATGTTTCTATCTAAATTGTACCAAGTATTTCTAAATGTGCCCACATATAAATTAGCATATGCAAAATTCATGTAAACCTGTGTCATCCTTTGGCCACTTTCTGGTGGTGCATCGCCAGCCACCTTATGGTAGCCACAGCCAGTCATAAAACATCATTTTGCAGGAATTGCATTGGCAAGACTAAAAGCCAAGTAAGACCTTAGTCAGAAAAGGCATGTGAGCCCCAGGACACAAAAACACTCACTTGAACCCGCATGGATAGGAGGATCAATCCACAAATCAATGTTCCCTAAACATACACCCTGTATTCTGCACAGAACTTGAAAACACACCCCAAACCTCAATCACTGGGAATAGCTGGGATATAAATATCCTCATCGTCATCCTCAGATACAGAAAACACATGCCAAGCACACATGGCATGCTTTGTCCCACCGCAGATCAAGCCCTGATATCACCCCATCCCCATAACCCACTATTACCTTGGACACCCACCACTTCCCCCTGCTCATCAAGTGGTAATGGTGACCTCTTTTCTTTAGCTCTACCTAGTGGCCCGGACATGTTGCTAAGCAAAGCACTGGCCTCTAAATTAATTTCTTGATCATTCCTCTGAATTTATTATGCACTCTGGCCTCCAGGGAAATCAACCAATCAACCACCGTTTTACATTAACAAAAGCACTGGTTAAATATTGCAAAGGAGAGGGCCAGCTTTGTGGAGGGCAAGGGAGGTATTTAAGGGAAAGTAAAGAACACTGTGGTTTTTCAATGTGAAGAAGGTACATTTGAACGGAAAAAGATCTGAAGAACAAAGGGATGAACAACTTCCTTCTATAAATCCTCCCTTTGCTCTGACTCTCAGCCTATCCAGGGAGCTTCAGGCTTACCCACGAACACAGAACTCTGCATACCATGTGCAGCCTCAATATGGAGATCCACCTCTCTCATAATCCCCCGTGAACTGAGTGAACTGCAGTGCATTAAGCAGCTTTAAATACTCTCACAAAGCTCTACATACCGCATGCCTTATGTACGAGGACAAATGAGTTTCTGTACAGCCACCACCTAACAATACCCAGGGGTCACTGATGGTGAACTGCAAAGCATGTTCTGCAGTCTGACAAGCAAGCTAGGAAAGAAACAAAATACTTTTGTTATAAAAAGGAAGAAGAAGATTTATTTATATAATTTAATTTAAAACTTTTATATGCCGTCCTTCACTATCGTGTCTCAGGACAGCTTACAAGATTAAAACCAATAGTCATAAAAACAATCAATAAAACAGTACAATAAAATTACTATAAACCAATATAGATAAATCAATTCAAAAGTGACTGTGAATCACTAAAAATGCTAATTTTTAAAATGATTAAATAAAAAGGTTTTGGCCTGGCACCAAAAATAGTATAAACTTGGCACCAGGCATACCTCTCTGGGGAGTACATTTCAGAGTCTGGGTGCCACAGCAGAGAAGGTCCTACTCTGAGTTGGTGTCCTTTTTACCTCTTTTAGGGAGAGTTCCCGGAGTAGGGCTTCTGCCATAGATCTTAAGGGGTGTGAGGGCATATAAGGAAGGAGACATTCCTTCAGGTATCCTGGTCCCAAGCTGTTTAGGGCTTTATAGGACAAAACCAGCACCTTGAATTGGCCCCGAACTTCAACTGGAAGTCAGTGGAGCTGATAGAGGACTGGCATCATGTGAGAGTAACGGCCAGTCCCCGTCAGTAGCCTGGCAGCTCTGTTCTGTACCAGTTGCAGTATCCAGACCATTTTCAAGGGCAGCCCCACGTAGAGCGCATTGCAGTAATCCAAGTGGGAAGTTACCAGAGCATGTATCACTGTTGCTCATCCAGGTAAGGACGCAGCTGATGGATCAGTTGAAGTTGTAGGAAAGCACTCCTTGCCACCGCCGCCAACTGGAACTCCAGTGACAGCTCTGGGTCAAGGAGTACTCCCAAGCTGCGGACACTGTCCTTTAGAGGGAGTGCTACCCCGTCCAGAACTGGGTCAAAATCTGCTACCTGGAGACCCGCACCACCCACCAACAGGACCTCCATCTTGTCTGGATTGAGGCTCAGTTTATTGGCCCTCATCCAGCCCATTACCTCGGCCAGGCACCAATTCTGTACAGCCATCGCCTCACCTGGAGCAGATATATATGAGAGGTAGAGCTGGGTGTCATCAGCATACTGATGACTCTGCAGCCCAAACCTCCCGATGACCTCTCCCAGCGGTTTCATGTGGATGTTAAATAGCATGGGGGACAAAATAGAGCCCTGCGGAGCCCCATGGCACAACTGCCATGGTGCAGAGCTACAGTCCCCCAGCATCACCATCTGGAATCAGCCGGCCAGATAGGAGTGGAACCACTGCCATGCAGTGCCTCCTACTCCGAAGTCAGCCAGCCTATCCAGAAGGATACCATGGCTGAAGGTATCGAAAGCTGCTGAGAGATCCAGGAGAACCAACAGAGACACACTCCCTGTCCCTCTCCCTGCACATGCAAGATGAAGATGAAGAAGCAGCAAGCCACATTATATGGCAAGGAGGTTATTATGGTTCAAAGGTAGCATAGTGTGCCTTCCCAGTATCCAAAAACTGGGATAGTTTCTTGATGACATGCCAAGAACTTATGGGCTTCAGCTCTTTAGGAGGAATGCCAGAGATAAATGCCCTGAAGCTGCCTTCCCCAAGCATTTTGTTCATAAGTGCTGCCTTTGCTCTGAGAATCGGTTGGCCTTAGTGAAGCACCTTCTTTCCCAAGAAGCGGGGTGGGAACCCAGTGCGTTCCAACAGATTCTGCAATAGAGGGGTGGGGGTTAGAAAAGCCGTAATAAGCAGCACTGTCTTTCGTTCTCGGCCTGTGAAAGGAACTGCGGAGTCACTTGCCCAGGCATCGTTGGAGGTCCACACAGTATCCCCTGGCCTGTTCAATACAGCTACATAGGAAGGGGCAGGTAAACAAGCTTTCTCTCATTTATATCATCATTGTATCCAATAAACCAGGAGTGGCGAGACTTGTTCAATGGAGGAGCCACATATGGTAACTTGCCACAGATGTTTGAGAGTGGCAAGCAGGCGCCTGTGGGTGGCAGAAACATATGGCGAGTGCCGAGCCACAAAATAAATTCAAACAGCCGCATGTGGCTTGCGAGCCTCAGTTTGGCCACCCCTGCAATAAACTGTGTATCATCCTTAACACGGGTGTTTTTGTTTCTTCTTGGATCTAAAACGAGGTTCCTTACCTGGACTAAGCCCCTGGGGTTAAAACTAGAGCTTCAGAAAAATCAAGAATTATTTGGAGAGCTATTTTAAAGGTGGACTTCTCTCCAATCCCCATGCCCCCAACCATTTATTTACCCCACACTTCCTTCAAGGAGCTCTGTGTGGTTTATATGGGGTTTATCCTGCTTTTGCCACACAAGAAACCAAAGCTCTGCTTGGTCTGTGGACACACAGGAAAGTCATGGCTTAGTGGGGACCTGAACCTGGATTTCATCAGTCCAAATCTGGCCACTGCAGCACAGGCAAAAATAAAAAATGTTATTTATTTAATAGATATATTTGAGCCGGCTTCATAATTACAGCTTTTTTTACTGTAATAAAATGTGTTATTCATTGATTGCACTGTTTCAGGTGAAACAATACTGTTGCTGCAGCCACCCAATTCTCATTTATTGATTATCCCAATGGTGTTCAAGTGGCTAGACACATTCAAAGCCAGGACTGAAAAGATAAAATTAATTAAAACAATAAAAAATACACCAGGGATGCAATTTAAATTTAAAAAGAGGACAATAAAAGGATGAAAAGAGCACCGGACCCGACAGCACAGACTACCTGTGAAAGGGACACTTGGACACAGCAGCCTTTGCCTGCCGGCAGAAGAAGAAGAAAGGGGGGGCATGCCCAACCTCCCCCAGCAAGCCATTTCAGAGGGTGGGGGCAGCCGCCCTGAGAAGGGCCATGCAGGCGAGGGGAGCTGAAACCCGTCCCCCCCAACTTTTTTGCACTCCACAAGCACGTGAATTCAAATGTAACCACAATGTTGGAAGTGGGATGGGATGCAGGAAAGATGACTGATGTGATGGGGCACAGCAAGGCAGAAGGGGGCACAAGTCATCTCCTCTCCTATCATACACATTCCCATTTTTGTTCCAAAATCAGATCACAGTTCTGCACCATCCATCCATCCATCCATCCATCCACCCACCCTGATAGAAAGAGTTCATACATGCGCAGAGCAGATGTGAGAATAGGCAAATGCGGCTCTAGGTCAGGTCTGGCTTGGTCTCAGCCAGAGAATCCCTCGAGTCACCCATCCATTGCATCTGGGACCTTGTCGAGCTGGGGCAGGGGCAGGACCCTGTATTCAGCCCAGCCCTTCAAGCACCCGCTCTCTGGCTCACTGAACCAAGCACGGTTGTTGGCAAAGGAAAAGCCCCCACTGTGTGAGCAGCCGCTCGCACACAGGGGTGGTGCATGAGCAAGTCATCCCCTATCCCATCACCAGCAATAAGGTTTCCCAGCCTGGCAGAGCCCCCTTTCCTGAGCAGCTGCTTTGCACATGGAGACTTCTTTGCAAACCACTGTGCGCAACACGTGGATGTCAGAGGACAGATGTACTATCTCAGGGCAGGGCCAGAACCAAAGCTCCACTCCTGTTTCGACATGGCAAATCTCCATCCTAAACAGGCAGCCTTTTTATAACCCTTCCTTCTGAAGTGATCCAGTTGAGGAGAGAGTGTGGGAACCCTCCAGCACCCAGGGAGATGTTCTAATCCAACCTTTCCTGTTTGGGGTCTTCTTGATGCCTTGGAACTTCCACCGCAATCAGCCCTAGCCAACGTCACCAATGGCCAAGAATGCTGGAAGACGTAGTCCAGAAGATCTGGAGAGCACCAGGCTGGGTGAGGCAGGCACTTCTAAGCTGTAGTCCCTGACGGCTGGTCCTGCTGAGACAGAGCTGGGGGCTCCTGGTTCAGGCCCCTGCAATTCCTGACATGACCCCCTCTCAATCTAATCTGCTCATAGAGTTGTTGTGAGGTCAAAATGCCATTTTGTGCTCTTTGGAGAGCAGGACAAGTGATACATAATAAGCAAGCAAGCAAACAAAACAGAAAACACAAGCACAAAGATACAAAAAAACCCCCAGAAACTGTAATTAAAAAGCAAACTTAGAACAGAACTGCACTGGCATCGGACAAAAGGATGCTGCCCAATTTAGCTTCTGTTACAGGCTGGCAACTCTGAAATGCTTCAGTCTTTCAGGAAGGGCACTGGTGGAACAATGTCAATGTGTGGAATAGTGATACTGTGTGGATCATTTAGGTGAAAAGCCTACCAAAACAGTTTCGCTACTCGAACTGTTTTGAGAACAGAGAAATTATGCCTGAGCTCAGTAGCTAACAAGTACACTTTCCTGTAAACTACTAACCCCCTTGATATCATCCATTCTCAAAGTGTTTTCTGTTGTTATTTTTTATCTTACAAAAATACGATAGAAGTGCCTCTGAACACATGCAGTGACTCTCATCCCAACCAGCAACAGGCAGCTTGCTCCTCCCACAGAATTAAGGGCTAATATTACAGATTTGATTTGATTTAAACATTTCTATGCCGTCCTTTGCAGCAAGCCTCAGGATGGGTTACAAAAGGTAAAAATAGTAATATAAAATACAATTAAAACATTCAATAATAGCACAACATAAGCAAAAGTTCATAACTAAAGAAAAAAGAAAAGAAAGAAGAAAAAGAAAATGCGGCCACGTAAGATGATGACGACGACGACGACGACGATGATTAAAATTATTGATATTATTCAAATGGTGGCTAAATACAAAGGTCTTTACCTGGCACCGGAAAGAGAAGAGAGTACCAAAATGGCACCATTGCCCATAATCCGGAGCCTCTGGGTCTCTTTCTGAAAGTTAACCAAGCTCCAGCAAGTGTCTGGTATCAAAACCAAGGTTTAAAAGGCTAAGAGACTCAGACAGAATTCAGATACAACAATAACTCACACTCAAGGGAAGTGGGTTATTGCTGAAATGCAGAATATCATAGTGTCTGAATCCAGATGAGATAACAAACCAGATGAGATAACAAAGCCCAGAGTTCAGATCCAACAACAAAGCATGAGTTGTTCATGGCTTGTTAGTGCAACTGGATTCAAACAGTGCAATAGCCCACATTTCAGCAACACCCATGGTTCAGCAACAACCCACATTCAATCCATACACAACCCCTGAGTGTGGGTTAGACCCAGTCACAGCCTTTCGTTCCCTAAAAGATCCATTCCATATCTTTTCTTCTTCACTGCAGCAGTTCCCCCTTCCTTACAACACACCTTGTTTGTTGCTTCCCTTAATCAGCCTTTCTTTTACTTTCTAGTGGAAAAGGGAAGTGAGGAAGAGGAACCAGCTGCAAGTAGGCCTGCTGTTGATAGTCGCTAAGTAGCATCTGACCCATCGCGACCCCATGGACTACATTCCTCCAGGCCTTCCTGTCCTCCACCATCCCCCGGAGTCCACTTAAGCTCACACCACTGCTTCAGTGACTCCATCTAGCCACCTCATTCTCTGCCGCCCCCTTCTTTTTTTGCCGTCAATTGTTCCCAGCATCAGGATCTTCTCCAGGGAGTCCTTCCTTCCTTCTCATTAGGTGGCCAAAGTATTTGAGTTTCATCTTCAGGATCTGGCCTTCTAAGGAGCAGTCAGGGTTGATCTCCTCTAGGACTGACCGGTTTGATCGCCTTGCGGTCCAAGGGACTCGCAGGAGTCTCCTCCAGCACCACAATTCAAAGGCCTCAATCCTTTGGTGCTCAGCCTTCCTTATGGTCCAGCTTTCACAGCCATACATTGCAACTGGGAAAACCATAGCCTTGAGTATATGCACTTTTGTTGGCAGGGTGATGTCTCTGCTTTTTAGTATGCTGTCTAGATTTGCCATAGCTTTCCTCCCAGGGAGAAAGCATCTTTTAATTGCTTGGCTACAGTCCCCGTCTGCGGTGATCTTGGAGCCCAGGAAAATAAAATCTGTCACTACCTCCATTTCTTTCCCATCTGTTTGCAAGTAGGCCTGGAAATGGTCAAATACCATAGAATGGAGATACAGAGGGATGCAAAAGCAAGGTTTGAAATGCTCCTCGATCTTATCCCTTCTAACCAAACTTCGCAAAGAGAACTTTCCTGTTGTCCTTGATAAGTCTACCTGCAGCTGGAATGGAGGAGCATTTGGAAGGAATATATTGCCTAATGGTGAGAGGCAGAGGCTGAGACTGTCGAAGTTATTTGTGTGAGTTCCAGAAAGAAGAAAGGGCCAGTGGAGAGCAACTCTGCACACATAGAATGAAGAACTAAAAGACAATTCTGAGCAACACCAGGCAGAAATTGGAAATGTTGTGGCCAGCCTTTCCCCACCAGATCTGCAGTGCTTCCAGAAGGGAAGAAGCGCTTGCTGATAACTTTCAGAACGAGAGGACAGGCTTTCTCTCAAAACCCTACGCAAGGGATTGCGGGCAGCCTAACCTAAACCCTGAACATGCTTGCTCTTCAAGAACAAGCCTGTCTTGGCTAAAGACGGCTGCTTAAAAGACCTCGGCTGCAGTGCAGCACTGTGACTTCCAACAGAGTCAGACCACAGACAAGGGAACCTGTGGCCTGCCAGATTAAGGATGCAAAGATCTGGCCAGGATCTGACTTCCTTGCACTCACCTGACTTCTTTCCTGGGCTTGGCCCTGGCCAGGAGGCAAGCCAAGCTGCGATCAAGTCCACTAATGTTTGGGAACATTAGAAAACCCCTTCTTTGTGCAAAGTAAGGTACACAAAGTATGTAAGGCACACAAGACATGCATGCCGAACTCTGCTTGCACATCAGGTGTGTGGGCAGTGTGCATGCAAACTGGCCTTGCAGATTTGCTTGGGCTCACTCCCAAATTCTTCACACTGTGCTGCACCTTATGCTGTTAGACTACAATTCCTATAACCCCTGACCATTGGTCACGCTGGCTGAAGCCAATGGGAGTTAGAGACCAAACACATTTGGCAGGCCATCCCTTTGCTGGTTTAAACCGCTTGTAAACTTCCTCCTTTCTGTTCATGGAAGCAGTGACGGTCTGGCAGAGAGCTATCCAAATGACTAAACTTTTAATAATCCATCCCTTCAACTTTTCTCCAAGAGTCTGCAATTAAATGCAGTCAGTATTTTTAGAAAGTACACCTACCTTCAGTTCATCCCATGTAGTTTCATTTCTGTTACAAAGCATCAGGCTGCAAACAATTGGATCATTGGGAATTAGATGCAAGAACCATTTTGAAGCAAAATACAGAGTCTGCAGATCCTTCAGATGACCATAGCAAGTGGGGGACAGAATCTGTAGAGACGCTACTGGCTGGGAACCTGTTCAAGGAGGAAAAATGATGAGGCACATTACCTTATAAACAAAAAAGCCATATATTTTACAGCACCACCTGGCTAAGTTTGTATCCGTTTGATCTGAAATGGACATTACCCTAGAGCCAATGCTTATTTTCAACCGTTCTGGAAGGCAAGCTGGTAAAATACAAATTGTTCAGTAAGCTAAACCTGCAGATTAGTTATTTTGTGAAAGAGTTCAGAACAGAAACTGCTTCATCACACAAGGCATAGTTAATTTTTGAAATTCATGACCCCAAGATATGCCAATGGCCATAGGCTTTAGATAGCACTAAAAAAAGGTTAGATGCATTCATGTCCACTAGTCAGTATAGACCAACAGCTATTTGCCATTGGCTGGGTTCAGATAATATGGTAACTCATGCTCAAGGATTGAATATATGTTGAGTGTGGGTTGTTGTTGAAATATGTGTTGTTCTTAAAACATGATGTCTGAACTCAGGTGCAGCACGAACAAGCTATGGCTTGCTAACCACAAACAATCCATGAAAAACCCATAGCTTGCTGTTGTGTGTGGGTTGTTCACTATGGCTTGTTATCTTGGCTGGTTTCAACAACAGCCATAGTTCAAGGATAACCCACATTCAACCCTTGAGTGTGGGTTATGTTGTAACACCCACTCCTTCCAGCTAAGACAGAACCCGATGTTCAGCAGCAATATACCTATGATTACCAAATGCCGGAAGACAACCAACAGGAGAAGGCAATTCCTTCCATATTGCTTGTGTGTTTGCTAGAGATTGGATGGGGGATCTCCTGTCCAGAGGCTACCCAGGACCCATGAGACCTCCCCATCCAGCTTGGTGAAGCTCCTGTGAATATCTCTACCCTCCCTGAGGTCTATGGTGGTGTTCCTGCTCACGTTGGGCTCCATCTCCATCCACCATTGGTGTGTAGCGCACAACAGGCTTCCTATGTGCCTCTGCAACTCATGCGGCAGAATGTTTCCTACCCTTGACCTACAGGAATCTGGTTGCCCACTGTGGGAAACAGGACTCTGGACTGGATGGGCCCTTGGATGCAACAGTGTGCTTTTCAGTTTGTTGAATCTGAAACAATTAGGAACCAGGCTAGACTAAAAAAACAACCCCCTACACATCCCAGTCAATTTATTAAACTACTCCTGTAAAATGAGAGTAAATATTTTAGGGCTGTAAATATTTGCACCGGATCTATGAGGACAACAATGATCTCATTAATCTGTTGTTAATTTCAGCAAATCCTGCCAAAATTCAAGCAGTGGAACAACAGGCCTTTCCCCATTACTCTCTCTATTAAACTTAACTGTTTTCTGAGCAGCTCTAACTTCCAAAGAGACATGCAAAACAATTATATGCATTGACAAAAGAGGAAGGATAGACAATTCTCACGAATATACAAGGTGCTTTATATTAAGCCGGGTAATTATTTTATTTTTACTCTGGAAGGATCTTAGGCAAGCCAGGCCAGGAAAAATCAGGTTGGCTGTATGGTGGTCAAAGCACAATTCAGATTCAAGCAGTTGCAAGCCGTTTACAGCATGGGATCTAAGATTGTAATCCTAAAGACATATATTTAGTGCCACTGGAAGCAAATTGCTTTTGTGGAAATAATCAGGACCTGAATAGTTTGTCTTTGCAGCAGCTTGAGTTAACAGATTGCCATGTCGGCCTTTATGATCTTGAATATTTTTGCCTGGAGATCAGTTATTTCAATTCATTTCTTCATTAGTGTTATACTTCTGTGCTTTTAATAATGCAGATTTCACAGGTTCCTGCTGAAACAGCAGAAATGGGGCTTTTAGCAGTTTATGCTTGCTAGGGAGATGGCTAGAATGCAGGACACAGCAAAGAAAAATGGAATGGGAACACAAGCAGAAATACTAATACTGAATCTTTAACAGGTAGCAGCTGAAGGAGTCTCCCAGGGCTCCATTCAATGGCATGTTAGGGAAAGGGAGTTTGTAAAAAGTAAAATAACTTAAGATTGGTAATCCCCTTCAGTAGTGCTTCCATCATGAAATTCTTGATCATTCTGTTGCTGCAGTACTCGTTCCTGAATGGGGTGGCGGGAATTCAGGAGCTGCTCAGCAAATACTTAGTCAAATATCAGAAAAGGTGAAAACTATTTTTTTCATTTTTAATAGAACTTAACTCCAGAGTCTTATCTGAGGAAAAGGAAAAGGTCTCAAAATGCTCTGTACACCAAAAAGGTCTGTAGGATCAATATTGCAAGAGCCAAGCCAGGTCAGACGAAAGGGTCCCTGCACCCAGCACTCTGCTGGTGCAGTAGCCACGGAGGTGACCCCCGAATCCACCAGACATGAGGTTGTTGATGTTGACAGACATGCTGCCTGGGGCAGTGGCAGCAGCCATCACGCCTAGTAGCCTCGCTACTCTCAGCTCCAAGCATTTGTCCAATTCCCTTTTAAAGCTGTCCAAATGGGCGGCCATCACTACATCTTGAGGACGTGAATGCCACGGATGACCTACGTACCGTGTGAAGACGCATTTCCTTCTACCTGTCCTTATCTTGCCATCTTCATGGAATGACCCTGGGAACTAGCATGATGACGAGAGAAAAATGCCTCTAACCAGTCTCCCCGGCATGCAATTTTTCTACACTCCCCCTTGCCTTTTTAATGCTAGACAAGCCTAGCTGTTGTAGGAGTCCCTCATGGGGGGTTGCTTTGACCCCTTGATGGTTTTAGTTAACCACTTCTGCATTTTTCCAACTGCAGTTTCTCTCTGGGTGCAGCGATGAGAACTAGACACAGTATGCTAAGTGTGGCTACACTCCAGATTTGTGCAATATCGTATAATTGTGCAATATAACGTATAATACCAAACACTTTATTTTCAAGTCCTTTCTTAATAATGCCTAGGATGGATCTTGTGATGTCCCCCACCATGCCTGGTCACGGGTGGAGCAGCAGGTATGTTTCTTATTCTCACAACAGCTCCATCCTGAAGGTCATGAGACCCTCCAGGAGGTGTGTGATTTAGCAGTGCAGTGGGAGCTGTGGACAGAAATCAGTGGCCTGCCCTTGCACAAGCAAAAGAGTCTTTGGTCGTGCAAGGGATTCTCTGAATCTAAGCCAGTGCCTCCCACTGGATCCCGAGCCTTCCTTTTTCTTAGCACGGGAGATGTATTAGACATTTCTGCTTTTGTGTCGGGACTGCAGTTTCAACACAGTCCTAGGAGTCTTGGGACTGTGGTGCAATCCATCTCTTCCCTCACTGCATGGATGGAAGTTTAATATGGAAGATAATGGAAAAGATTTTGCCGGTTATTTTTGCTTAGTACATTCCTCCTCTGCAACCAGGGATGTTTTCCCTTGAATGTGTCCCCTAGCAGGTGGTAAGGAATAAATTACCCTTTATATATATGCACCAAATGAAATAAACAGCAGACATCAGCTTTCCTCTGGCAAACCTCAATTGCTAAGCAGATTCAGGTCTTCAAAAAACTGAGGATGTAGGGGTGTTTTGAATCAGTCGGTCAAGGCAATTCTGGCCAAGCTTTTCATCAGGGCAATACAGAGATGTCTAGGCTTTATTAATTCAGAAATCAGATGTGCACTCACATTATCGAATGTGTCCCAATACAAAAACAATTCTCTTCACTCAAGCAATCAGGTGGCAAGGAAAGTTTCCAGACTAGCCTCTCCCTCACACAAGCCACTTGTGCATATGCTTTTGAACACAGCAGCATTCAGGTATGTGGGTCATCGCCTGCCCTGTGAGCAGGTTGATTAAATCACTGAGAACTAGACTGCTGCTCATTCTGAAGGTCGTTTTCAATAGGCTGTATCCAATGTGGGTTAAATCAATTTCATTTCGACAGGTCTGCTCTAAGTAGGAGTAACACTGGATACAACAGTATCTTCTCCCCTGTGTCCTTCTGCCCCTTGAGACCGGAGTCAGAGGCCCTCCTCTAGCAGCCCTCCTTGAAAGAGATCAGGAGGGTGACTACCTGGAGGGCCTTCTTTGTGGTGGTGCCCCGACTGTGGAACACACTCCTCAGAGAGGTTCGCCTGGCGCCAACGCTTCTTTTCTTTCGGCATCAGGTAAAACCCTTTTTATTCTCCCAATATATTAATTGTTAATTTGTTTTAATTGGTGGTTTTATACTTAACATCAGATACTGTACTACTCCTACTCTTATTTAAAAGATTGAGTTTAAAACCTACTGTGGGAAATCATCATCATCATAGAGAGGGGAAGCAAAGGGGGAGAGAGGGAGACAGAGGGAGACATCCAAAGGAGGCCTTCTTGTCCTGCACATCCAGAGATGGAAATCTCTCCAACATTTACTTGCTGCAAAGAGTTGGGGGGTGGGGGGGAGCAAGAAATATTCAGTTTCTCCACTTTTGCAGGGGTCCTATATCCCTAATCCCCCCGACTATGGAGGACTGCCTATATGTGCTCTGACTTACACACACATTCAACTTAAAGACAGTCTCAGGAATGGAACTTGTATGTAACCTGGGGACAGCATGTACCTTCATCTTTGGCAGTATATGCAAATCCATAAAAATTACACTGCAAGATTAATGTGCTATATGTATGTACCATGTTCAAACATGACACACTAATTAACAATCCAATGCATGGAAGCTAATGGAGCTTATCAGAACTGGCAGAGCACGAATTTATGCTGCTTCTGGTTTGCACCACTGCTCTTCTCACAAAGCTCATCCAATTACCTGTCATTTGCTTCAGGGGCTCCATCACTGCTATTCCAACTCTTTCTACAGCAACCACGTGATTCTCCATCAGGTACTGTCTAAGGGCTGGGTGGATAACCTTCTGACATACCACAAGACTCACGCCATCCCTGACTATTTGCTTGCCTAACGCAAGCAACTGCTGTAAGACTGCTGCTTCTAGAGAAACTCCTTGACAGACAGTGATGACTCCTTCCACACTCTCAGCCAAATCCCCAGACAGAGATACACAGAAAAGAACCATCTTGATTGTGCATGAAGTAGCTCTTTTGACAGGAAGCATTCTTGCGGGATGCGATTCCGGTATTTCAATCAGAAGTCCAGGATATACAGCAGAATCCAGCACTCTCCTATTTTTGACAGGAATGTAAAGACACTTCCCTAGTGCCAGCCTGGTTTCAACACTTTGTGGGATTGTAAATAGAAAGGCCTTTAATACCAAAGTGCTGATATGATCAGCTTCCTTTCGGCTAAGACTGCAGGCACGCTTGCTGGTTAAAATACTGCGGACCAGGCTAAGGGGAACCTTTGAGTTGCTGAAATCCACTGGCACTCTGCAGCCGCATGCTTCCGATCCAAGGTAATCGATGCACAGGTTCAAGAGGTGACAGCTGATCTTAATAAAAAGACATGGTGCAACATGTATGGAGGCTGCTTTTTCGAGCAGGCTGCAGCAAAGGATGGCAGTGAATAAGCCACAGTCGCTAAAGTGTGCAAGATGGTTCTGCACGGACGCTGTCAGAAGCTTTAACACTGGGTGAGTGACTGAAAGGCCACTGAGCAAAGCCGAAGACTGGGATGTGGTGCGAACGCAGCCCCCCACGCCATTGTGGAGCTGTTTAAACCTACCAGTGGGGCCATAGCAGGACATCAATATTTTACTGAACACAGAGAGAGCGTGGCTAACGGCCTCCTTGGTTAAAGGCTCACTGGAACAGCGGGAAGGCTTTTTAACGTCAACACGAGACATCTTCCCAGAGAAGACTCCAGTCAAGACTTAGAGGTATCCCACTTTGACAAGACACTTTAATGAATGATACATATCAGCGTGCACAACGTGTGTTGTTTCCTTTGCAGTCAGAAGGTGACAACATACAGGACTTCTCTGAAATTTAACAAACTGCTATGCTAGATGGACAGGGTGATGTTTGCAGAACCGCTTCATTCATCAAGATGCTTTGATGGAATTTCCAAGCCCGATTTAGCAGAGGACTTTGCGGCTCTTTGTATAAGGTAGGTCCCAACATGGAAACCAACAAAGGACAGTCCAGCCACAAGCAGCCAGTTCTTTCTAATCCAGCTGATCTTCGTCATCGCTTCTGCTCACAGTGATGTAAAATGGCTAAATAAAATACACCTACAATAAAAATGATAGCATAAAGCTACAGTCAAAGGCTGAGATATGAATTTGTTGTTGCATCTTATTTCATTGAAAACTCATTAAAGACAGCTTATTTGTTTAAAGTATTTTAATCCTGCTCCTCAGCCAGGAAGGCTATCAGAGCAGCTTGTGAATGTTCAGTAACAGAATCATCCATACCCACAGGATTATCTTTGCACACAAAGATGCAACAGGCAAGGAAAAGGAAGAGGGAAAAAAATAAGTCTTTAAGAAGGGCTTGGTGACCACAGCTTAAGGGACATTCTAACGGGTGGAAAACATTCAGGTGGCTTGTCCACTCCCACCACTCCTCAGACAAATCCTTCAATTTATAAAAGTCCAATATTTAAAATACAAAGGAGAAGTATTAACCACTGTAGGCAGTTATGGCTACTAATTTTGTCTTCCAGGGTTTCATTCCACTTATATTTCATTTCAGCTGTACTGTGACTGAAATGTTCACACCTTTTTTCAGCTCACATTTTATTGAGGCAATTCACACTAAGCAGTTTGGTAGGATTATCATTCTAACAGTTAGAACTTATTTAAAGCAATATCTGACAAGGGATGATCTGACACCCAGTAACTGAGGTTGTAGTAGGAGAGATGCACCAAAGGTGAGAAATTTCACATTTCTTTACATCAGGAAACTGCTAAAAGATTGGTGTGAATCTTGTATACAGGATAAAAAGGTCTTTTCCACATGCTATTGTGGAATGCTAGAAGATGCAACTGAATGGTATATACTTTAATGTCTTTTCTAGGATTCCAACATGTCATTTTATTTTACTTTTTAATGGAAGAATGTTTAGAGCTCAAGATTTTGAGGGATTCCAGAAGGGGAAACTAGGAAAGGTGGGGTGGGGGGGTTCCCTTGCAAACGCTTTGCCCTTTGTTTACCAAGCAATTCCTATGCCCTTACATGTGTTGTTCTCCATTTGGTAACCCAGGAGTCCTTACTGATAATTCTCAATTCTTGCACTGGGCAGGGAAAGACCAAACAGTTCTAGCTCAGCTGGGGGGCCAAATATGACCTTCCAGGGTTCCCTGGATAGCCATGCCCCATTCCCCTGTCCCCAGCACCTTTCCCCAATACTTGCTTGTTTCCCAGATTTAATACTTTCCCCCATTTTTAACAAAAGCTGAAATGCTTCTCTTAAGGCTCAGTTACTGGCAATGAGAATTCGAAGCTAAAATATGCTGGCATTATGGCCCTGCCCCTTTGCCTTCCACCCCAATGACCACTGGAATGGACTCCCCTTTCCCAAGAGCTTCTCCAAAGTTGGATTCACCCCACAGGTGAAAATATGTTCAACACCCCTTTCTGTACAAGTTAACTGGGTGGCTCCTGGTCAAGGTCCAGGCTATGACCTTGAAGGCACCAATGACAGTGGTGGTGCCTGGCTCCGCAAGTGGGCAAGAAACAGATCAGAACCCTCTGTGCATCCACCTCGCCACGGCTACCGAACCTGAGCAAATCACAGTATGCTGTGTAATCAGCATGGCTCTCGCAAAGTATTCCTGAACAGTGAGACTACTCTGGGGTGGTGCCCGGGTCCAGAAGCAGCTGCCACTTGCTGGGGGATCTTCTCCATTTGTGGGTTTGACCCTATAATGCAAGTCTTTCTGCTGAAGGGCAGAGGAGGCTGCCAGACATAACATGTGGGTTGCATGCTGCCTGGAGCCTCTGACTTCTATTGTGGGGGTGGTTGTGAAATTTGTTGCAGGGGGGAGCCCTGCCTTAGGGATTTCTCCCAGTAGCCCATTCAGCTTTCAGAATGGGGTGGAGGCTGAACTCAGGGCCATGTGTCTGTCAAAGTGACATTGACATGTCCACATCTGCTGGAAGAACTGCAGTTACACTGGGGGAAAAATGTATTTTTTCACGCTAGCAGAAACAGGGCATGGGGGAGCCTTCTGTGATGATCACTGCAGACAGGCAGGTTTAGAAAAATATGTGCATTCTGCGAATGGGAGAGATACATGCTGCACTTTAAGAGCTTCCACATGTGTTGCTCTGAATTATGCATAAAGCCAGTATTTACAGCAGCTCTGCTGAGGCAGGTGGTGAACTGCAGCTGCAGTGCATCACATTCATTACAGAGGTGCAGCAGTGCCTGAATCCCATTTTGCCACAAGTATGAAAGTATGAGCTGATGCAAAATGTTAAAGCCCATGAACTGAATTGAAGCGGCTGGGAAAGTCGGTTAAAATACTATAACCAGGTGTGTGTGCATCATGCATGCAGAACATACAGATATGCAAATATACAGTTGATACCTTCAAGCAGTGAGATTTACTCCTGTAACCATTAAATAGTGACGTTTCATATTCTCAAAGAATCTGATCATTCATCCTTGTTTTAACAGACCCTAATCCCAGTCTGCCTTCTCAGGTCCTGGAGTGGCCTATTTCTCACAAGAAAAATTTATTTGATTTTTAGCTTGCCTCATTAGTCACACAGCTCCCTGGGCCTTTTTGTGAAAACACAAACCCTTCTTCTATTCCATCCTATGCTGTCTCTTTGGCTACAAGACTGTAAACAATAACAGTATAATATTCCTTAGCAACAAAAAATGGCATTGGAGTTCTCAGAGTGCTCTGAGCTGTGCCCTTTACAAACAGACTGCAGTGCATGCTTTCTGTATTGTTGATGGAGAGTGAGAGGATGAGGCTCAGAGAGAATGGCTTGCCTACAGCCACCAAATCAGCTCATGGTCAAGGTGAACAGCGACATCCAGACCTGCAGCTCAGCCTCCTAGCGACCATGTTCCACCAGCCCTCTCAAAGGCTTTGCTGCTGCACAGTAAATCATCCAATACAAGGCAAGCAAAGTAGGTCTCCAGCTCTGTTCATTCACCAATTAAACTTTCTTCCCTCTTATTATTTTTAGAAAAGGCTGGCAAGAAAGAAGCAGAGCCACTTTTATACTCCGATGCAAAGGGCTGCCCATGCCAAGCCAAGCAAGAAAAGCCTCAAGATTGCAGAGCTGGACAAAGGGGGTGAATTTCCATGATGAGTATGGGAGAAGGGGATGACAAAAGAACAGCAATTCTGAAGGTCACCAGACTTTCTTTGATTTACGTTCTCCGAGTGGTTTTGCTCATGCTGCAACAGGAACTTACCTTCAATTATTCTGCAGCCCTGGCTGGCTATTTTCCTTTATTTTGCTTCTCCTGCTGCAGCACATATGTCACAGTGCCAGGCTCTGGGACCAGGTCCTCTGTCGTGGGTTGGAAAATGGGACTGGACTTTATGTTATACCAGCCCCAATGTATCAGCACAAGGCCAGTCCCCGTAACCACAAAAACTTTGTAGTTCTTCCAAATGGTTTTAAGGCCCATAGTGTGCTGGCCACTACCTATGTAAAGAAGTTGAGAATTTTACATATGTTCTATGAAAGACAATTCAAGCACAGGGCCCCTTGCTACTACTAGCAGCACAATTATGTAAAACCTGAATGCTCATATTTTGCAAGCTTGATCCTGACTACAGTTTCTCAGAAATCAACCCCATAAAACACAGGCAGGGCTTGTTTCCTAGGATGCTGATGACTGCCATTTGAATTACACTGCAGCAGGACACAGAAGGCAAATCCAGATCTCCCACAACTGAACAACCACCAGACCTGGCTAGAGGTGCAGGCAGGAACGAGGGATGTGGTACCGCCCCTTGGCTCAGGGCCTGCTTTTGTTTTTCACAGTGTGCAAGAAATTGTAAAAGATTCCGAGAGACTGCCTCAATGAGTTCTTAAGCTGCAAACAACTCCTGGGCCCTCTGGCTTTGGGCATCTGCACCACTGCAAGGCAGGCAGGCTGTGCCTTGAAACTGGGTTAGAAAGTGCTGCCAGTCAGGGGTATAAGCAGATTGGAATACTCCTTCATAGCAAAAACAGCTTCTACTGCACCCCATTGACTCAGAAAACTGGCACATCAGGGAGAAGACTTGGCTAGACCCATTCTTCCTGAAATCAGAGTTTTCCACAGGAGGGAGATGCTTCTGCATTCAGAGCATTCTGTCATATTAGAGGGAATGCAATAGCATGAACTATAGTCTAAATCAGTAATGGTCAGATATGGGCATACCATCCAATGCGTGCAATTACGGTGCAACTTGAGCTTGCTCCTCCCCACCCAAGCTTTAGCTTAGGGGGCTTTGGCACTTGGAGGTGTCCCTCTGCCAGCAGTGCCTCCACCACAGAGGAGGCCCCCACTGTGTTCACAGAGACCTCTCCTGGTAATAAGAGAAAGGCTAAGGGCCCCACCTGGGGCATTTTGGCAGTGGACAGAGGAGTTGTTTGCTTTGGAGCTGAGGGATCCAAAGCTGCTCCTTTCTCTGTGAGGGGCTGACTTTGGATTTCTCAACTACCCAGGCCTGGAACTGCTACAGCAAGATTCCCTCCCAGTGTAACCAACAGGAAGGAAATCCAATCCCCTCTACTCTCCCAGAAGAAAAAACCCGCACTCTTCTAGCTTTTGCCCTGCCCAGGGTGAGTAGGGAAGGCTGTGGATGAGGCTGTAGATATACCCTGCTGATTCCCCCATGCACTGACCCTAGCCCCACTCAGGATTGCTCTTTTAGACTGGAGACCTT